TTCTGTTTGAATTTAAATATTACAAGGGTATGAATGATTTGGATATGTTTATGTTGCAGTGGTGTTTTAACAATGTTCTATGTACTGTTGTGGAGGAAAATTTAATTTTCAATTTGATGTTGTAATATGTATATGGTAAATTCTTTTTTTCGTTTTTGGGTTTTGTAAGATGATTTAATAAAGTATGGTAAAATCTCTCTCTCTCTCTCTCTCTCTCTCTCTCTCTCTCTCTCTCTCTCTCTCTCTCTCTCTCTCTCTCTCTCTCTCTCTCTCTCTCTCTCTCTCTCTCTCTCTCTCTCTCTCTCTCGTTTATGTCTTTTGGTTTATTTTTTCTCCTTTCTTTCTGCTTCTTCAGAGGACACTGTGATCTGACTTTAAGATGTGGAAAACAACTGAACAGCTTTTAAAACGTGTTTGCTATTCCACTGTATGTAAAAAGTGAAAAACGTGAAAAAATGAGATTATTTTCACACAAAAGCATAGACTTTTGCATCACTAACACCTACAAGAGGGGAAAACTCTGGTTGTAGACCTTAGTAAAGAAAATATTTTAGAGGGGACCTATTACACCCCTTTTTACAAGATGTAAAACAAGTCTGATGTATGTGAAGTTCCAGCTCTAAATACTCCACAAATAATACTATATCACTCTGAAACTGCCCCTTTTTGGACTTTGATTCTAATTGTGCCATTTTTGTGATTGTCGCTTTAAATTTAAATGAGATTGTGCTCTTTTCAAAAGAGGGCGGAGCTTCAAATGCCTATGTGTCAGCATAGTGGTAGATTTTAAAACAGGACTAACGTTCAATGGTAATGATGGAGAAATTGGTGAGTCTTTCCCCTTCTGATGACGCACACAAAGGGAGAATGTCAATCTAAAGATTTTTACCAGTAGAAGCTTGTTAAACCACACAACTGTTTAAACCACTTATAAAAGTGATTTTTTTTTATAACAGGTCCCCTTTAAGACAGTTAAAATTGTAGACATGTTGTTGTTGTTGTTTCCTTTTTTCCTTTCTCTGTCTTTAAATGTATAGGCAAGAACAGTACAGGCGTCATGCTGCAACAAGATTTTCAGAAATCTGTTGGCATCAGAGCAAAATAATGCTAACACTTAGATAAAGGCATAGTGAATAACTGGTGTTCACAGCATTTTTCTCTCACTTGTTTTTCTTAGATTAGCATTGTGAAGCTGTGGTCTAAGTATACAACTTCTATTTCTTGCCTCCTTCTGCGTCTTCTGTTTTGTTTGAGATGTAACAAGGTGAAGGGAAAAAAGCCATTGCGTTATTTGTGATTAATTTATCATGCATGTGTTCTTCCTTTCTTTTCTCTCTGTGGGGAGAGCGTATGTGACTAATAGCAAGAACGAACAGTGGAGGGTTTGAGGAGAATGTGAAAAAGGGAATAAAAGCAGGGGAGATAGTATTGTAGACAGCAGCCTTGCTTTCTCGTGTCTGCAATTCAGCTCTGATAAAATGCCGTCCCTACTAGTGGCCGGTATATAAGATTCTGACGATATGATAACCTTGGATAAAAATTTAACAGTTTCGCGGTATTGTGATTACTGCTCTAAAAAATATTCTAAAACTTTTTTTTCCTTTTTGATGACAGTATATTTTATTTTGAAAAACATCTAAAATATTTTAGAGCAGTAAACGTGTCAGGCTATATAAATTATTGACTTCTGCTGTCTTCATTTTGTTTCAAAAACACAGATTTTTTTTGCCTTCTTTTCTGCTGGAGATACTATTGTTCTAAAAACATAAATGAACATGAATTTAAAAAAAATCATACACATATCTTAATAACGGTAATAAAAAAATGTTGATGGTTTTAAAACCTTGACTTTTCCAATCTGCGGTATACCTTGAAAATGGTTATCGTCTCATGCCTTCTTTCGTCAAAACAAGAAATATTTCATTCCTTTTTTTTACTGGATGTAAATTTGATGTATTTTTTTGCAAACATCAGCAGAGCTTCTGCTGTCATCAAACATTCCAACATTCACAAAATCTAAATAATGATTTTAGTTTGGGTTAATTCTGATGCAGATAATAGAAAGCATCTTCGGCCCTGTTCACAAGAATCCTTTTTGTGGATCCAGTCGGAAGTGAAAAATGCCCAGTCCACTTTCATTTTTGGTATTAAACTACTCAAATAATTTTTACTAGTTTACTTAGTGTTACTGCTGCTTCAATAGTGCTACTGAACGGTCATGGCAATGACAGTAAATTGACCTCTCCATTTATGTTAAGTTTATTAACACAGGACAATATTTTGCAACTGTTTGAACATCTACAATCTGAGGGTTTAAAAATTTAAATATAGGAAAGTCAGTTTTAAGCTGCCTAAACGAGATATTTAGCTTTGCATATTATTAGTAACCCAAAAATTAGTTTGGATATATTTACAGTAGAAAATATACAAAATATTTTCATGGAATATGATCTTCTTTACATAATATTAAAATTTTTGCCATAAAAGTAAAATCTTTGAGAGTGATGAGGTTGTTTTTTTTTTTGTTTTTTTTTTGTGGCCAAGATGACTTTTTTAAAATACTAAATTACAGGCATATATAATAATAATAATAATAAAAATAATAATAATTCAGTTGATAATTCTTTTTAAATTTGAATGATAAAAATATATATTTCAATACACGTTGTTAATGCTTCAATCTTGCATTCAAGTCACAAAAATTATAGTTCATTATGTAACATTTTCAAATATAATGTATTAAAAACTGATTACAGATTTTTGGATTTTCAATTATATACTAATGTTTTTACAATATAAATGAAAATATAATATTCTGAAGAACTGCAATTGACAGCATATATCCAAATAACAATATACGTTTATAACATTTTAAAAATAATTACTAAATTGTTTTAAAATAAATGTTTTAGTTATTTAAAAATCATTAAGATAGACTATAGATTTTGTCCAAACTGCAACACTTGCAAAATGTCTAATTCTTTCACTACCTTTAACTTTTTATATGCTTATGAAATATTTTGATTAATATTTGTATGTAAAGTTTTGGTCTATTACTTTATAGATGCTTATTTTCTGATATGGCATTCTTGTTCTGGGTGACAGTGCCTAAACTATTTTTGGGTGATCATTTTTGACAGCCGAACTAATATCGACACAATTAAAGGTTCCTGGGTTGCATTGAAGTCCAATTTGTATGCCCTTCACTAGCTAGTTTCCCTTTACCTTGTTTGTTTAGATGTACTTCATTGATTACAAGTGTCCACTACTGGCGCAATGGGTTTAAATGTAATGCCCTAAACCCTTGAACACTTGTAAACTCCAGTTCCATAACATTGTAATATGAAGCCAACTCACTCTATTATTCAAATTAAGGGGTTGAGGGTGTCCATGTAAACTTTCCTTCTTCACTTGTAGTGTTCCCTTTCCTTGTTTCCTCGAGTGAAGTTCACAAGTATGTGTCTAAAAGTGGACTAGAACATAGCCCTGTGGTTGCATATTTCAGCTTTCTTGCATATTTCAGATTGTCTTTGATCAATATCTAGTTAAACTTTTCAGAGCTTATTATTGATATAGACATACATTTTGTTGTTATTTGATATGATATCATGTAGGTTATTATCATGGTATCAGCTAGGCTGATAAAAATAAAACTACTGTATGTTCTGTGGGATTGGAAACTATTAATCATCGAATAACTATTCGTTAATGTAAAGTACAGCAATGCGATGGTGCAGTAGGTAGTGCTGTCGCCTCACAGCAAGAAGGTCGCCGGTTCGAGCTTCGGCTTGGTCCGTTGGCATTTCTGTGTGGAGTTTGCATGGTCTCCCTGTGTTCGTGTGGGTTTCCTCTGAGTGCTCTGGTTTCCCCCACAGTCCAAAGACATGTGGTACAGTTGAATTAGGTAAGCTTAATGGTACGTAGTGTATGAGTGAATGAGTGTGTATGAATGTTTCCCAGAGATGGCACAATACTGCCCAAAGGCAGACCTTTGTGTCCCGGTGTTTAGAGAAAAGACACTCCAGTATAAAACTGAACCTGTTAAATCAGATGAATTTCATTTGTGAGAGAGTAAGGAGCTGAATGAAAGACAGAACACAGGAAGCTGAAGAATGGCCGCCAAACAAATCAGTAAATCAGCTTGCATGTTACAGATTGCCTCATTTCTGAAAATTAACTAAACAATACAGCCACATTACATGTAAGAAAGAGCGCAGCCAGTACACCCCGTGAAAGAACAAGGAGACAAAAATGAGGAACCACTGCTGGACAGCAGATGAAAAGAAAAAAAAACTTTTAGTTTTTGAAATCTTGATAATAAAAATTAGTTTGTAATTGTATTCTTTTTTTTTTATTTGAAAAACAATATACTGTTGTTACCACTACAGTAGAATAGGAGGATGTGGATAATACATTTGTGTACTGTTTAGATTAAATGCTCTCGGTAGTTGTAGAGAGTGTAGTTGCATTTGCATTACAGATCAATGCCCTCTTTCTGCTCTCTGTTCCATAATTTACAAAGCATTGATTACCTGCTCGCTCATGATTGATTATAGCTGGAAAGAGTTAAAGCTTTGTATGTGCCTGTGTCTAAGGGCGTACTCACACTATGTACAGTTGCCTTAAACCGGGCCGAGGCACACTTGTCCTCCCTTCTGTCTACCCCAATGGCCCGCACTCACATCGTGTTCAGGCCTGAGCACAATTACGTAATCGATGATCTGCTGTTCAGTTTAAGAAGCGCTCTCGCTCAGCACAGTGCAGATTTCTTTAGTTATATCCTTTTAGTCTTTTGGCATGTAGTGACACAGTCAAATATTTTGCCGAACACATCAGCCACTTTTGATGCTCATAAACAATCATGCTGCGGGAATTAGGAGGTTTGCTAAAGGTGCAGCTGTCATGCAGTGAGGGGTTTAATAAAGTTTTGTAATCTACAACAGTTTTTTTTTTTTTTATCAGTTTTTGCCCTAATAAAATTCTTGTATATTTGTTTTCAGGACTTCCACATCAAAGTGACCTGGGAGATCAGCATGAGAATTGTGATTGGAGCATCACTGTCACCAAAGGCAGCAGTGGGAACCGGGATAAAGTGATTATTAACAACAAAGACACTTGGCCTTCCATTACATATAGCAAGAGCCGGCAAACACCAGAATGCATCTTGGACACTAAACGCACACCAGAGGTTGTTAGCAACAGTAGCAACACTATTATGGCTACAGGAGCTAGCCCACAGGGTCATTACCCAATAAGCAAAGCTAGCGTTAATCTCTCTTCTAGCATGGTGTCTAATCATGGTGGCCCTACCAGGGGGTGGGCCTCAGAAGGAAAGACTGACTTGTCCATGGGGAGTAGAGGGCAGTCTAGCTGGGGTGCCTCAAATCTAAACCTAAACCCCAGTGCTAACCCTGCTGCTTGGCCAGCTCTTGGACATGAAGGGCCTGCAGTTGGGTCAGGACCTAGTAGCATGGTTTGCTCAAATCCTCTTTCACTTAGTATGTGTGGCCAAGGAGGAGTGGCACCACCTCATGGCACCAATGGAAATGGGAACATTGGTTGTGTCAATGAAAACCTTGTAGGGGACTGTGCATGGGGCAACCCAGATATCCCAGAACAACATCAGTCACCTACAAATGTATCCTTCAACATGAAACCTCCTATCCTTAAAACTGATGGACCAAATAACACTAATCCAGAGCCAATGAGTCCAGTGAACAGCTGGAGAGGAAACCTCAGCCAGTCACCTACTGAGCCTGCCAGCAAGGATGGAACTGCGTTCTGGGGCAGTGGAAATGCCAAAAATGGAGAATCAAAGGACTCAGGGTGGGATTCTGTGGGTGTCTCTTCCTGGGGTCAGGGAGGAGCTAGCAGAGGCAGTCGTGGCTGGGGTGACTGGGGTAAACAGCCAAGCACTGAAGGTACAGAATGGGATGCTAATGAAGCTCCTTCCCAGGAACATATGAGTTCATGGGGTCCTGATACTCCAGCAAGTGAGGGCAGCAGGGATAGCAGTGAGGGCCACCCAAGGAAAAGAGAAAGATCCTCAAGTGCTGATTTGGTCCCTTTGCTTCCAAAGCAAGACTTAGATCCACGTGTTCTTTGCAACTCAGGCTGGGGGCAGACTCCAGTTCGTCAACACACTGTTTGGGAAATGGAAGCAAGTACAGACAAAAAAAATGATGTAGGGACTGAGGACTGGGGGTCTTCCTCCAACACAGCGTCAACTGGACCTCCACCACCTCCTCCTGGGTGTGCCAATTCTAACATCAGTCCACCTCCTAGAATGGATACAAGCAAGAGTGAGGGACATTGCAGAGTCATGCCAAATGCAGGCTGGGGAGGATCAGTCCCAGTCTCTGCTCAGCCTAACAGTGGATGGGGAGAGCCTTCAGCAAATAAAAAGGTTTCCAATGGATCAGGATGTAACTGGGGTGATCCTATTCCTGTGGCTCCCAACATTAGTGGCTGTAATGGCCAGTCTTGGGCTTCTGAAGAAAAATCTCCTAGCTGGAATGATTGTACTTCTCAGAAGACAACACAAAATTGGGGTGATGGACCCAAATCTTCCTCAGGTTGGGGAAGTAGTGGTTGTGCGAATAGTGGGGAGTGGGGTGAATCTTCAGAAATGAAGAATAGCTCTGGAAGTTCATCTTGGGAACCTGACAGCAGAAACTGTAAAGAAACTCAGAGAGGCTGGACTAAAGCATCACCAGCACAGAGTGGTTGTTGGGGTGAAGCTCAACATACCAATGGTTCAACACAAGGATGGGGTGGAAAACTTCAGGAATCCATGTGTGGCAACAATGGATCTGGAGGCATAGGATCATGGGGTGGCCCTAATTCTGTCAAACAGAGTAACTCTGGCTGGTCATCAAGATGCCGCCAGGAAACAGGAGATGAGTCCACAGGCTGGGAAGAACCCTCTCCTTCTTCTGTTCGTCGCAAAATGGATATTGATGATGGGACATCCACTTGGGGTGACCCCAGTGCTTACAGCAAGAGTGTGAATATGTGGGACAGGAATCACTCCCAGAATCATCCAGGAACAAACAACAGTGGTAATGGTAATAACCTGTCTGTGCCAAACAGCGCTAATCATCCCCAAAGGCAAGGACCCACACAGAACCATGTCAGTGGAAGCAACAACAACGCCTCACCCAGTCAAGGTGAATGTCCTCTCAACAGGATTTCCATGGTGAACCCAGGTTAGAACATGCATTACATTTCGGTTTCAATGTGAATAATTTTGCTTTATTTGCTTATGCACTGGCTGTGATTAAAAATGTTTGCATGATAAGTAGAGCAGTGGCAAAAAGATAAACAATTTTATTATAAGTTTACAAAATGCATCCCTATTCTCTTGATTCTGTTGAGTTTTTTTACAGCAGTTGATCCTGTATGCTTTACAAGCAGCCATACTCCGCTTGCAAATGCTTCCTTACAAATACCTCTTAAACATAATCATTGATGAAGTTAGAAAAGCAAATTTCAAATGTTACTAGTGAGCTGTGTTTACTTTGAAGGGGTGGTCATATGCTGTTTCATGCAGTCAAATTTCAAAAACTTTTTTGAATATAGCACAGACTTTCACTTTTGACTATACCTTATAACTGGAAAAGCACATACATGACAAGCACAGTTAAAAAATAGCTTAAGATTCACATCCACTTGGTAAGAAAGGTCCTGAAAATTTTTGGCTAAAAACAAAGTTACTGCCTTTGCAAGGCAGATTTTGAGTATTTGATCAAAAACTAGCATAGAATACCATGTTGTTAAAATATAAGCTGTCAATTCAAGAGAGATCGGTGATGCATTAGTGATTTAAAATCTCAGAATTGATTACTCGGACAATGTTTTACCACAGCTCTAATAATAAGTTCATAATACGGCGACTATTTTAATAGCCTATTATTTATCTCTCTGATTAAACAATTGGATATGCGTTACATCATCTATATTTTAATTACCTTAAGTTGTAGTATTGATAGAGTTTCATTCTTTATCAGGCTGGGGAGAGATCCCTAAAGTTCAGCCAAATACAGAGTCCTCTTCATGGGGCGAGACAGCCAGTTCCAGCTCCTCTGTGGACAATGGTACTTCAGCTTGGGGCCAATCTTCTAGGGGCCGTGGGGGATGGAGTGAAGGTAGCCGTGACTCAAGTGGGTCTTATGGCAGAGGAAATGCACCTGCTGTATCAAGCCCCTGTCAGGAAGGTAATAAAATGAAAGAAACATTTTTCCATTGGCAACTGCTAAACCAGAAGTTTTAGATATTGATTATGCATAAGAATTCCATATCTAATGTTTATTCTATATAATTATTTTTAGCTTTGGTATCTTTTAATGATAAAGATCATTTACATTGACGTCTGATGGTTAAATGAAATTCCAGTATTTATTGAAGTAACTCTATTGTTCAAATTAGTTTTTAGTCATGTGTTAAAATTACATTGTACTATCAGCTTAACCCAAGTACAGTTTTCATATTATAAACATTCTTATCTTTTCACGCTTTAAGAGTAATACGTAATATTTTATACTGTATTGAGCATACCAATGACAAATTGCAGAATTGAAACTTGTATAACGTATACATTTGTTCCACACAGACTCATATATCACATAAGTGTTTATTTCTTTTACTTTTGATGACAACTTATGAAAACCACAAATTTAGTATCTTAGAAAAGTAGAATTTAACTTAAGACCAATACAATAAAAAGGATTTTTAGAAATCTTCGCCAAACTGAAAATTATGAACATGAAAAGCATGAGCTTGCACAGCACTTCATACTTGGGTGCTCCTTTTGCTTGAATTACTGTGGCACTGCACGGGTGTTATGAGAGCCTATGTTGCTCTAATAATGGCCTTCAGCTCTTCTGCATTGTTGGGTCTGGCATATTGCATCTTCCTCTTCACTATTATCTCATAGATTTTCAAAAGAATTAAGGTCAGGTGAGTTTGCTGGCCAATTAAGTACAAGGATACCCAGGTCCTTAAACCAGGTTTTGGTAGCTTTATCACTATGTGCAGGTGCCACATCTTGTTGGAAAATAAAATCTGCATCCATCCATAAAATTGGTCAGCAGCTGGAAGCATGAAGTGCTCTAAAACATTCAGAAAACACAGTGAAGCAACACCAGCAGATGACACGGCACCCCAAATCATCACTGACTGTAAAAACTTTACACTGGACCCCAAGCAAAATGTATTTTGTGCCTCTCCTCTCTTAAAGTTTACTTTCATAACTTTGCATAACTTTCATAACTTTAGAGCACTCGGTAGCAGTCCAGTGTTTAGCCTGGGCAATATGCTTCTGATGCTGTCTTGACACAAGGAATGCAACAGCTGAAACCCATGTCTTCCATACGTCTATATGTAGTGGTTCTTGAAGCACTCCAGCTGTAGTCCACTCTTTGTGAATCTCCCCTACCTTTTAAGTGGGTTTTGTTTTACAATTCTCTCCAGGGTGTGGTTATCTCTATTGCTTGTACACTTTTCATCTACCACATCTTTTTCTCCCCTTCGCCTCTCAATGTGCTTGGACAATGAGCTCTGTGAACAGCCAGCCTCTTTTGCAATGACCTTTGTGTCTTGTCCTCCTTGTGCAAGATGTCAGTGGTCGTCTTTTGAACACCTGTCAAGTCAGTCTTTCCGATGATTGTGTAACCTACAGAACTAGACTGAGGGACCATTTAAAGGCCTTTCCAGGTGTTGTGACTTAATTAGCTGATTAGAGTGTGGCACCAGGTGTCTTCAATACTGAATCTTTTCACATTATTCGAATTTTCTGAGATATTGAATTTGGGGTTTACATTAGTTGTCATCCAAACCATCAAAATTAAAAGAAATAAACTCTTGAAGTATATCAGTCTACATGGAATTAATGTATACATTATACAAGGTTTGTTCTTGAATGGAATTAGTGAAATAAATCAACTTTCTGAAAATATTCTAATTATATTACCAGCACCTGTGTATTTATACATGTATGTATATGTAAGTATATTGTGATCTCATTATCTTGTCCATTTGTGTTTTTTCAGGTCCCAAACCTATGCAAGATGGCTGGGGATCTGGCGGGGAAGAGATGGGCATGAACACCAGTCAATGGAATGCTGATGATGGTGACATGTGGAACAGTCCCACATCCCAAGACTCCACTTGTAACTCCTGGGGTCATTCCAGAAAGGGCCCACAAAGGGTAAATAATAATGGCATTTAAAGCAATCGGTGCTTTGGCCTGTGATGAAAAGAATATATATATAGTATTTGTTTTGTCTTGTGTAGTTTTGCATTATGTTGTTCTCATTGTTTATTACAGGTCAAGGTCTCTAACAAGCAGGATGACGTTTGGATCATGAACAGGCTTATTAAGCAACTTACAGATATGGGTTTTCCGGTATGTTAATACTATAATGTGCACAATAAATTTGAATTAATGTACAAAAACAAGTGAAATATGATATTAACATTATTATAAATTCTCTTTTACCTGATACAGAAGGATCCTGCAGAAGAAGCCCTGAAGAGTAACAACATGAATTTGGATCAGGCCATGAGTATGTCATTTCTTTGTAGTCAACCTGTAAAAAAAAAAAAAAAAAAAAAGACAAACATGCAGTATGTTATATGGTCTTGGTCTGGAACATAGCTTATGCACGTGCTATTCTTCAGGCGCTTTGTTGGAGAAAAAAAATGAACTGGACAAACGGGGGATGGGCACTTCAGACTACAGTAATGGATTAAATAAGCCCATGGTGTGCCGACCCACAAACCTCTCTAAAGACCCCTCACTGGATCACTCCCCCTTCCTGGACAAGGTAGATCTTAGTCTCAAATGTTATTGAATAGAATTGAGGAAAAGCTTTTTTTTCCACTTCTGGCCTGAAGTGAAGAGAATTTAGATCTGGGTAAATTTCGTGTTTTTTTTACAACATATTTTCTGGTTTCTCAGGATGGCAGGCTGTCAGACGATTCTTCATCCTCACCGTTTATGCCTTCTCCTGGCCTCAAGCTCCCACTGGCCAGTAGCAGCCTCCCGAACCAGGGGTTAGGTGGGGTCTCTTCTGGTCTGTCCATGCAAAACTTGAACAATAGACAGGTAAGTGCTCTCACAGGGATATTTAATGATAATTAATATCCCACTATTTTTATAAATTTTTTTAAATGAATGAGATCTTGTTAATTCGATCATTTAGAGCAGTGCCACTGCTTATTGCGATCGACTAATAGATTTTAGCATTCTCTCGGTAGATCCCAAATATGACAGAAGACAAGAAATGCGTCTTGATTAATGTATCGCTTTTTCTTTTTCTTGATCCAAATGCTGTTTTATCTTCATTATGTTCAACTGCCACAACATTGATATATAGAGCTCTTTAAATGACATCCCTCACCCCATGAGGTTTAATGTAATAAGGAGCCATTAAAATATTGTGTCTTTGGCACACTCATGTTCCTTATATTACATAGAGACTTCTTGCATGTACAAATAGTGAGTGATGCCGTGAGTTTTCCAGGTGCACCTACTGTAAAACTCAGCAAGATGAAAGCATCTCAACTTTTTATTGAACTGCGAAAATGCAAGGCATTTACAGTACAAAAGGCACATACAGTACAAAAACTCTCACGGCTAATTAAACCGCCTCAAACAATGCGTTCAATGTAATCGGTCTCTAATATATCCAGCTGAAAGCTACAGTTTGCTTTCTTATAACATTGTGAATTAATGCTTCAAAACTGCTGAATTATGTTATAATGTTTTAATATATTTATTATTGTTACAATATTCATTGTTATTATTATTATTATTATTGAGATTTCTATGATTTTTATTGTTTTATTACAGCTTATTTATAAAATGCTTATGAGGTAAAAAAATAATCGTTTTATTTTCCACCCAAATTTTCTGCCTTCCAAATGTCGTCCATGTGCATTGTCACAGATTTTCTTGGCTGCATCAATTAACAAGTTAAACTAGTGATTTTTACATTGTTAATAAATGTTAAATTAAAAATCAAAAATTAATATAAATGTGTCTTTATTTTTCGTTCAGTCTTTGATGTGTAGATTGGTAAAAAGAGTTGGTGATAAGGGTGTCAAGATCCTCCAAATCCTCGATTCGATTACATTTTCGATTCTAAAGGCACGATTCGATTTTCGATTATGAATAATTAATTAATTAATGACCAATTAGTTATTTGTAGCCTACCGTTTAAACTACCTGACCTGCATGGTCTTTGTTTTACCCATAAACAAATCATACAGTAAATAAATAAAGGCAAGATAGACAAATAATTACCACCTGTCAATCACTTTTTCTGTGGGACTCGTGAATAGGCAGTGATCTGTGTCGTTATAATGGTGTCGGTAAAAAAGAAGCACAACCAACAGGAACCAGCCAACAGTATCTGAGGTGTTCGCTAAAATGACTAAGTACAAGTGAGTGAAAGATTGAAGCAGTCCTCTGACTGCCTGGACCTGCTGTCTCGAGCGCATGGCTGTGTGTGCGTCTGTGTCTGTGTGGTCACGTGATGTGCATTTTCAGAGGTAGAGAGGAAGGAGGGCTGCTCAGAAATGCTACACGCCACTGTGGATGTCAAATCGTTGTCGTTCTAAAATGCCATTTAAAAACAAAGACAGTGTAAACAGGGCCTGAGTGCGGTGGAGGATCGCGATGCCGGTGTTGTCTATCGGACGAACCGTACGTAATACGTACATAGCAGAGCTTGCAAAACTGTGTTTTTTTATGTCGACAACACGAACATTGTCAACATAACTCGCTGGAAATCCAAAATGCTTACACACCGGCGACTTCATTGAAAGAGGAGAGGGTTTAAGTTCTGTCGACGGGTCTCCTGCTTCTGCAGTTTAACAAGCACTTCAACAAGCCTGTTTTTTCCCGCTTGGCAAGCCAAGCTGACGTGACGTGGGGGCGTGGCAGCATTGACGATTCTATTTTTTGATTTGATAATCGAAATTAAGCATAATTTTCGATCGAAATCGTGACAGCCCTAGTTGGTGACCACTGATTTATTTTAGAGTATGTACATACATCTAGATTTTGCTGCTCTTTTTGTTTCCTAGATGCATAATGGAATGTTTGGCACTAACGGAGCAGCACAAACTCGGGTCATGCAGCAGCAGGCCCCGCCCCCTCAGCCACCAGTGCCACCTCTGAGCTCCACCCAGCCTAACCTGCGTGCTCAAGTGCCTCAGCTTCTCACCCCTCAGGTAATTTGTTTCTAACCTTTATATTGTTTCTTCTCATCCTAGATTCTAAAATTCAAGTGGCATCAATCATGTAATCATATTAATTATTTACAAATGTTGAATGTATACAAATTTACAGTTGAAGTCAGAATTATTAGCCCCCTGTTTATTTTTTCCCCAATTACTGTTTAACGGAGAAATTTTTTGACACATTTTTAAACAAAATAGTTTTAATAAGTCATTTCTAAAAACTGATTTATTTTATCTTTACCATGATGACAGTAAATAATATTTTTCAAGACAGTACTATAAAGCTTAAAGTGGCATTTAAAGGCTTAAATAGCTTGATTAGGTTAACTAGGCAGGTTAGGGTAATTAGAAAAGTTATTGTATAATGATAGTTTGTTCTGTATATATATCTGTTAAACATCATTTGGAAAATATCTAAAAAAGTTTTTTTTTTAATCTAACTAGAATTTTACAAAAGAAAAGATTAAACATATCAGAACTGTTAAAAGAACATTGTATGTTCATATTTACTCAAAATATAATATATTATATTATATATACATGTATAATAAAAGTTAGCCAAAGCAATAATCATCATTATTAATCGTGAATAACATTTTGAGCAAAATAATCATTATTATCATTTTTGTTATCATGAAGCCCTAAGATCAGGGTATTTGCAGGCTGTTAAAAAGTCTTAAAATGTCTTTTTAATTTTAATCAATTTTAGGCCATAAAAAGTCTTAAATCCACTGAAAAATTGTGTTATAGGTCTTTAATCATTTTAAACAGGTCTTAATTGTCCTATGTCCATGTAAAGCTATACCCAATTGGGTTAACACCCATCAAATCCATAACAAGTTATTTAAATAGAAGTTTAAGAAGAAAAAATAAGAAAAGTTTATTTAATTACACTATTTACTTATTAATATGGTTTAATTATCTTCCTTACAATAGCATTAGTTTTTATGTTTTTTAAGGTTTTAACTTGGCTATTAAAAAATTATTTAGCTTTTAGCCTTGTGTAAGTCTGAAATTTCATTCATTCTGCTCTTAAAAATTCTTAAATTTGACATTGAAACCTATAGAAACCCTGTAGATGAAATTTTTAAATATGGCCACTTATATATCCCTGCTTATTGAATGAGCCACTGAGCAATGTATTCAACCAATTTGTTTGAATGAATTGTTTTATAAAAAAGGAATGATTGAGAATTATCAAGACTTGGTTTTGTTTGGTATCTACTTTGCTGACAATTTTGAATCCTTAATCTCACTTAACATTGACCAGTTTTTTTTTAGGAACGGTCTAATAATGTGCTGTTCTGCTGATGTTTTTTTTTTTTTTTTAAAAACTAATTTGTTGGTTTAAAACTTTTTGGTCGTATTCAGAGGGATTGCCAGGAATTATATATATTTTTTTGTATGGTGCTTATCGTATACGAGTACATCCCTCACATATCTCTTTTTTTTTTCAAATATTTTCAATAGGGTGCTTTACAATATTATATTTGTGCATATACATTAGATTACCCCGTAATGAAGCCAAATCTGGAGCTAATTTAATATAACTTACGATAACGGTCCAAAAATAGGTAGCCAAAATGTATCCGTTAAGGAAAAATATTCAATAAAGATTTTAAAAGGAACAAAAATCAAGAAAAACTAAATATATTTACAATTTTGTTGAAATTTTGTAGTTTGTTTTTTTTGGCAATATTTGCGTGAATCTTTCTATTTCTTAAGATGTTCTGTGACTTAAATATTAGTTTTTATAATATATATATTTAATTTTTTTAAATGCACCAAATTATATTACCTATATTCACTGAGAAATGGATCAAAATATTCATTTACAAAATTGGGTGTACTCATTAATGCTGAGCTGCACTCATTCATTCATTCATTTTCTTGTCATCTTAGTCCTTTTATTAATCCGGGGTCGCCACAGCGGAATGAACCACCAACTTATCCAGCACATTTTTACGCAGCGGATGCCCTTCCAGCCGCAACCAATCTCTGGGAAACATCCACACACATATTCACACACACACACTCATACACCACGGACAATTTAGCCTACCCAATTCACCTGAACCACATGTCTTTGGACTGTTGGGGAAACCAGAGCACCCGGAGGAAACCCCCGCAAACTCAGGGAGAACATGCAAACTCCACACATAAACGCCAACTGAGCCGAGGATCGAACCAGCAACTCAGCGACCTTCTTGCTGTGAGGCGACAGCACTACCTACTGTGCCACTGCTTCGCCCTGAGCAGCACTGTAGATCATTAAAAAAGCTCAATTGACATTGACAAAATGTCTGGTTTTCTTGCTTTCACTGAAACTGGAAAATTATCATAATATGCCAATGTTGATCCTCAGGTTTATCACAAATCACTGTGTCCATGCAGTTCACTGCTCTTTGGTTAATATGCATTTTGGTTTACATTCCATATGTGTGTGTTTTTCTGGTAGGTTCAAGCACAGCTCTTACAGTTTGCGGCAAAAAATATCGGTCTGAATCCTGCACTTTTAACCTCACCAATAAATCCTCAACAAATGACCCTGCTGTACCAACTACAACAACTGCAAGTGGTGAGTCACACAGATCTCTCTTGTGCTCTCCACATGAATGCCAGCAGATGACATCTACCCACTGGCCTGTCTGCAGTGTGGTGCCAGTGTTTTCGATCCCCATTCACTAATTGATTCTTTTTCTCTATAATTCTCTTTATGTTCTTTTCTTTCTCACCTTGAGTGTTTTCTTTTTGTGTCAGGCGTATCAGCGTTTGCAGATTCAGCAGCAAATGATGCAGGCTCAGCGTAATGTCTCTGGTCCCATCAAGCAACAAGAGCAGCAGGTATGGCATGCAAACACTCGATTTACTAGCCCTGAAAAACAACGGATATTTAAACGGTTACAATTAGGGCTGCACAATATCTCACAATGTGGGAATCTGCTATGGTCACATGGCTGGATCTGCATAATCAAGTTGGGATTCTAAGAAATACGAAACACCAATTAGAAAAGTGCAGTGCAGTGATTTATGGAATCACTGAACAGTTTAACCCTAATATAACAGTGTAAAGGATTTGTTTTATCTTTATGTGTTTTTAAGGCCTGTGGTTGTAAGATTTCAAGTGAATCATCGTGGCACAAGAAATTCTGAAGTTTGCCACATTAACAAAGAATAGTTGTTTATTTATACAATGAATTCAGTTCAATTCATGTTTATTTAAATAGCACTTTTTACAATGTAGATTGTGTCGAAGCAGCTTAACATAGTTCTAGTCAAGTCCCGATTTCAGAGTTGAAGTTCTGTTCAGTTTAGTTCAGTGTGGTTTAAATTTCACTGCTGAAAGTTCAAACACTGAAGAGCAACTCTACCGAAGCACAGCTCCACAAGTTCTGATCAAATCAAGACAGTGGCGAGGAAAAAACTTCCATCAACTGATGAAGTGAAGGAAAAAAATTTTTTTGAGAGAAACAAGGCTCTGTTGGGCACGACCATTATTCTTCTGGCCAAACTTTCTGTGTGGAGCTGCAGTCTAGGCGCCAGAGGCTGGAAAAGCTGAACGTCCATCGGGAGGTTAGGCTGGCCCACAGGATCAATGCGGGGACTCATTAGTACTGTGGTCTTTCAGCAATCAGTCTCATGCACTCCATTCCTCCATGACCACCACAGCATCAGCTCGTGATACGGAATGGTCCAGGATTATGGAAACCTCGGGATCATCTCTTTACAGGTCTTGGATCACATCTATGGTGCTGCATAGTTTCTAGGGGCCTCGGGATGAGTATCCCCAGGTGGAAATAGAGAATAAAGAAAATAATTAGTGTAGCTTCTGTTCATAGTGTATTTAAACAAAATGCAAAAATGGAGTGTTATAAATGAAAATGATAATTATTTACACAAACATATGAGAGTTTCTAACACAATGGCTGGTGTATTAAGACAGGAGGTTTGTCAAGCCAGCTCACCTGTGTGGAGCATACTCATGCGTCATACTGTTATGAGATGCATTGTGTGTATGCTTTTCTAAAAAGATCTTTGATCCAGTTTTGAACTGAAAGAGTATTTCTGAGCTTCGGACATTATCAGGAAGCCTATTCCAGAGTTTAGAAGCCATATGAAAAGGCTCGACCTCCTTTACTTAACTTTGCTATCCTACGTACTACCAAAAGCCCTGAGTTTTGAGATCTTAAAGAGCGGGTTGGATTGTAGCGAGACAGAAGGTTGGTTAGATAAACAGGAGCTAGATTATTTAAAGCTTTATAGGTAAGAAGCAATATTTTATAATCAATAAAGAACTTTACAATGAAGCCTCTGTGAACTTATTGTACATTTGAGCATTGAGTTTCTGTAACTCAATTCTGTAAAGCTCCACTAAAAACCATGAAGTGCTGTGGTTGTTTTTATGTTTGTTCTATTGGTTTTTATATATAAAAATCATTAATCTACAAATCATCTCACTCAAAGTGCAACTATGAATTCTTCACAAATAGAGTTACTTAATTCATCTTGTGAAATTATATTCATATTGCAATAGAAATCGCAGAAAACGAAATATAGCAATTTATTTTTTTTAATATTCTGTAATTATCTTTGAATAATTATAATGAATAATATTACCTTACTTATCTATATATATTATGAAACTTATTTTCTCACGCAGGTTGCACGTACAATCACAAACATGCAGCAGCAGATCCAGCAGCATCAGCGTCAGCTGGCCCAGGCCCTGCTCATGAAACAGCAGCAGCCTCCACCATCCTCTCACACAGGCCTGCACCAAAACCTTGGCAAGGCAAGCCAGGACAGCTTCACAGGTCATTCTCTGACTTCAGGCTTCTCCTTTTCAGATGTTTAGACTAAAGAGCTGCAGTCTTCTACAAATTATTTTAGATCATTTACACTCTGTTAGACATTATGGACCTCTGCATACTACTGTATGCTTGACATTGCATTTCACAGTGTCCACTTATGTTTAATAACAGTAATTTACATACCTGGAAGCTATCAAAACATCAAAGTGTTTTATTCTTGATAGTAACTTTACCGTATAATTCAGTAACTGATAATGTAAATAAATTACAGCAAGAGTAACTTTCTCAAAGTTTAAACTTTTTTGTATATTGTTTGTTGTAAAAGCATCTTTATGCTAATAGCTCAATCTGTAATGTAGTAGTGCTGTCAGTTCAATATTATTATTCATAGGGCAAAATATTGATCAAAGGGAATTACTAATATGTGTATGTGATTGTGCATTAATCTCTGCTTCTCCCTGTAGCTGGTTTGAACCCGAACATGAATGTAAACTGTATGGAGGTGGGAAGTCTCTCTCTGAAAGACCCTCCTCAGCCTCAGTCCAGACTCTCACAGTGGACTCACCCAAACTCCATAGATTCTCTAACAGCAAGCACTCAGCACATGGAGGCAAACCTCAGTAAACACGGTATTCATTTTTTTTATAGTATAGACTTGATCTTGTGCTCTCACTGTAGGAAACGTTTTTTCTATAGTTTATAAAGTCTGATCTGATAACCTGTATGTCTAACACACTGTTAAAGTCGTATACTTCAACAAACATTCCACTCCAAGAAAAGAACAATATAACAAACTCACGGGGTCACAATTTCTGTCCTTGAGACAGACTAAACTCCCTCTCAAGTGAAGTGCTTGCAGGCATTCCAGAGCTATTTTTTGCTTTGAATCAGAGGGCCTTTTTAAAAATGATCAGTTCTTGGCATTTGTTCTCAGTAAACCTTGCCTAAACAGTATTTCTAGCTAAACTACAGCAGTTCACTAGAGCAAGTTCATCGCAGGGCTAAAGCTTGAGCTTGTAATCTTCAGTTTTTTGTTTTATCTTTGAATACAGAAATGGCAGTTCAGTTATTTAGCATGTATCTGAGTCTGGTTTATTTGGCCTCTATAATACTTCTATATTTATCTTCCAGGTTCAATATCTGCTGCTCAGTCCCATGTGCCTGCTGGGAAGAGCTCTATGGAAGATTCCTTCAGCCCATACAATATGATGTCAAGTTCTGAATCACCCAGCAACACATTGGTGTCTCCGGAGAGCTGGACACAGGGCAAAAGTCCCAATGAGAAAATTGCAAGTGGCTCCAATATTAGCTGGCCTCCAGGTGAGCTTTGCCATAATATTAATCGGGAAAATAAGTCTTCAAAGGATACAGTTGAAGACAGAATTATTAGCCCCCTGAATTATTAGCCCCCGTTTATTTTTTTTCTCAAATTTCTGCTAACAGAGAAAAGATTTTCCCAACACATTTCTAAACATAATAGTTTTAAAAACTCATTTCTAATTACTGATTTATTTTATATTGGCCATGATGATAGTAAATAATATTTAACTAGATACTTTTCAGGACAATTCTATACAGCTTAAAGTGACATTTAAAGGCTGAACTAGGTTAATTGGGTCAACTAGGCAGGTTAGGGTAATTAGGCAAGTTATCGTACGATGATGGTTTGTTCTGTAGAATATCGGAAAAAAAATTAGCTTAAAGGGGCTAACAATTTTGTCCTTAAAATGGTTTTTAAAAAGTTTAAAACTGCTTTTATTCTAGCTAAAATACAACAAATAAGACTTTCTCCAGACGAAAAAACATTATCTGACATACTGATAAAATTCCCTTGCTCTGTTAAACATTTTTGGGAAATATTTAAAAAAGAAAGAAAAAATCAAAGAGGGGCTAATAATTCTGATTTCGACTGTACATGTACTAGATGCAGTAAAAATACATTTTGTACTTCTATTTTTCACAGAGTTCTGCCCTGGAGTGCCGTGGAAAGGTCTGCAGAACATTGATCCTGAGAATGATCCTAACATGACCCCAGGAAGCGTTCCAAATGGCCCCACCATTAACACTAACATACAGGATGTGAATCGCTACCTGTTACGTGACAGGACTGGAGGTGAGCGATAGCTCAGGATAATTTATAACAGGGAAAATGACAGTCAAACTTTTAAATAAATTGTTAAGGAGCATTACTTAGTAAACATATTTTACTGTTTTCATTCCTCTTTCGCTGTCCACTTGGGACATATGCTCATAATAGCCTCATCCCCATCTCAGAGTGGGACTCTGTCTTCTTCGAATGATTGGTCAGACAGTGCATTTAACTCACTGGCTCTTTTCTCTCAGAATGAGAGGGATGCTGAGAATCCAGGTACATTCGTAATCCCGTACCAGCCCATGACCCACTCCCTAAACCTACTTACCCTTGCTTGGTCCTGTTCCTCATATTTTGGCACCTTACCAAGTCTTAGAATGTGATCTCCTAAAACCTTTATTCCCCTTGCTCTCTTCTATTTGTTTTATGTTCATCATTGCCAGAGACATTAATCTTACACTTTTTTTACTTATTGAAACTGATCTAAGATATTGTATTAATACAGATTTTGTGTCAGTCTGAGATTCATTTTAAAGCGGAAGGTGATTAAGAGTGAATGTTTTATTGTTGATTGATAGGACAGGTGGGTGGTAGGTGGTTTGAACATACCTAAGCAGACATTTACTACATTTAATGACTATTCTAAAAAAAAAGCTTTCGTTTGCTTGCTTAAAGTGATTTGTGTTACAGTTAAATTGCGATCAGTTATGAACATTGTTAAAATATTTATAATTATCTTATATTAAACAATTGATTTAGTAGAATCCTGTTTTTATCAAATTCATAATACTGGTGATTCTGCTTTTTGAATTTTTTAATTTATTGATATTATTATTATTATTATTATTATTATTATTAATTTTGGTGGGCCTCGCTGAACATAAGTGGATTCTTCCAGAAAATGTTTCAAACTTTTATCACAAGTATATCTATTTAAACATTGCAGTTGTACTTCAGTTTTCTCTGTAAGTTTGTCAGTGCTATTCTTTAAGAAGGATACAGCAGACTTGTTAACACTTGAAGTAAGGATAAGACCAAAATATCTTATCACAATTTTTTTGTGATTTATCAGTTTTACCATTGAAGTTTGAACAATACAGCCCAACTAGTTTCCACGTCTGAAATCACATACTTCCATACTACACTATATGGTACGCAAAGAATGCTAAAAACTATATAGTACACTAAAACAGTATGTAAGCCGAGTAGTATGTCAAGATTCATAGAATTTAAAAAACAGTGGGCTAAAAATACCATGATGACCTCCTACTACCAGCGAGATTATGAAGTTCGCATATGATGGTGTCCCATGATGCCACGCGAGAGAATTCATGAGTCAAAGTGAAGCGTCTACAACTGATGTCGATGGGTCATGGGACAAATGGCAGATGTAGTACGTCCAAGTTCCATTCATACTACTCACATTCATACTATATAATCATACTTTTCTAATGGTCATGTAGTAAATTCATATGTAGTACTTAGTAAGTGGTAGGCAATTTCATGTTACATGTTAATAAAATAAAGGACAATTGTAATCACTTAGGCTAAAGTGATTGATTTCTTTTCAAAGTAAGTGATTCACAACGGATTCACTTTTAGGTGCATTAAGTATGATTTCTAGGCAACCACAGATTGAAAAATGGAAAGTAAAAGATGTTGGTTTTTAGCTCAGAGTTGATTTTATTCATCTTCAGGTGCTCGGGACACACATTAAAAGGAGCATTATTCCACTGTATTGTTGTAAAAATAAACTTTAACTATTGATTCCTTACAGCCTCCACTTTAGACAAAAAAAAAAAAAAGATTTGGTTGCACTTTATTATGATGGTCCATTTGTTGAATTTAAGTTACATTGCATCTACACGCCAACTAATTCTCATTAGGTTATAAGTAGACTGTTAGGTTAGGGTTACGGTTAGTGTAAGTTGACATGTACTTGCAAAGTTTCTTATAGTCAGTTAAATGTCTGTTGAAGGACTTCTCAGTATCAACAGATATTAAGCAGAAAGTCTACTAATAGTCAAATGGACCATCAAAGTAAAGTGTTACCAAAGATTTTACCTCATTGTGCTGAAGCACATCATCTTTGCAGAATTTGCTTCAGTGTTTGAGGGTGGAGGGTTCATGTTTTTCCAGGTCTGTGCTCACAACAATTGGGTTGGCAGTGTTTCATTTAGACTTCAACAAAAATTCATAATAGGGGCACTTAAAAAAAAAAAATCATAGATGATTCCATCTTGGGCTCATAGTTTCTTTGAACTTCAGTGTGTGTCACAAAAACAAAAAAATTTTAAATCAGCTTAATAGTCAAATGAGAGGAGTATGAGGAATCTGAACAGGATGCACAGAAGACCCAATAAACTAGCAATGAGGAAAGCCACACTTTCATTTTTGAAAGTCTCTGTTTTGATTCCATCTACACTAAAATATAGCCTGGGAGTTTTCAAACTAAAATAGAGTCTGCAGCAAATCTAAAATCTCAGAACACATAATAGCCTACACGGTATGTTGAATGGTCACTATACCTGCTGCTGATATTAATTTGTCACCCTGTTTCTTCCTCTTCTCCAACTTTCAAGGTAAACTCTTGGAAATGAAGTCTACCTGGTCCCCTGGACCCATCTCCCACACACAGGCCTCTTTATCTCAAGAGTTATGGAAGGTTTCCCCAGGGACTCGAAACTCCAGTGCTCCTTCTCGACCTCCTCCAGGACTGACCAACACCAAGCCCTCCTCCACTTGGGGAGGAAATTCTCTTGGCCTCAGCCAAGGCTGGAACAACTCTTACTCCTCAGGTAAATTCTCTATCCATCATAGTGGATCAAAGAAGTAAAACCAATAACACAGACCATTTATTCTCTGTGCAGTTTAATGTTAGGTTTAGTACTCCAAATGGGCAGAAATCAAGAATTTAACAAAAATAATTCTGACTTGCCTGTATCCTTTTTGTTTTAGAAGGGGGAACTTGGAGCTCTGACAGTCCAAACAGAGGAAGCAGCTGGTTGGTGCTGAGAAACCTCACTCCTCAGGTGCCTAAAGCAGATCCATTTAAATCCTTAAATAAATGATAACAGCAGTGTTATTTATTTAGATTTTACATGAGCCTGTTCTGTCACTTATTCGGTAATAAGTGTCTATTTTTGTTTTAGCATATTAGAAATTCTAAAATCACTAATACTGTACTGTATACATTTATGTTGTTTTGCTGTTGCTTTCTTGCACTAAACAAACCTTAAGACAGTGTGTCAAATGGAAAAAAGTTTTCACTTTTGCCTATCAACTTCTAAACATTGCTCCAATCAGAAGAAGCCGTTGAACAGGCCTACTGTGAGAATGTTGTCAGTGCGTAAGAGGTGGTACTTAGCTGTAGTCAGGGAATTCTTTTTATCATTTGACATTTTTGGTGTTTCAGTTAAAAGGTTCTAGATTTTGTTATACTTTGCAGTCTGGAGACATTGAGTTTGCAGACTGTGCTTCTGCTGTTTTTGGTTTCTTCAAACTTTTCTTTTAAAACTATGACCAAACAGTCAGAGAATATCGCATTTTATATTTGCATTGATATTAAGACACCCACTGGATTCATTAATTAAGCCGCCTCTCCCACCTACTTAGTGGTGTTTGGAACAACTTGTTAAAAATTGTTTAAATGTCCAGTTTGTATTTGAAACTGCAGTTCATTTACACTTTTGGCCAGTGCACAGTAGTATATTCCAGCCTTTAAATGTATTTTTGCTTGAAAATAAAATCACGAAAACAACACTGACAGTCACAAAGTTTTTTTGGTTTTTTTTTATGTAGAATATGGTGTGTTTGAGAAACCCCCGGACAAATGTAATAATATCTCTTTGTTGCACACAGATTGATGGCTCCACTCTGCGGACTCTGTGCATGCAGCACGGCCCTCTCATTACCTTCCATCTGAACCTGACACAGGGAAATGCTGTTGTACGTTACAGCTCCAAGGAGGAGGCTGCCAAAGCCCAGAAATCCCTGCACATGTAAGAGCTCAAGCTTTTCTACTTCATAATTCTCTGACTACTTTCAGAGAATGTTCCAGATCAGATCTGGTTCTGTTTTTAAAATCAGAAATCTCAACAAAAATGTGTATTACCCAAATACAGTTGAAGTCAGAATTATTCGCTCCCTTAAATTATTTGACTGCTTGTTTATTTTTCCCCCAATTTCTGTTTAATGGAGAGAAGATTTTTTCAACACATTTCTAAACATATTAGTTTTAATAACTCATTTCTAATAACTTATTTATTTTATCTTTACCATGATGACTGTAAATAATATTTTACTAGATATTTTTCAAGACACTTCTATACAGCTTAAAGTGACATTTAAAGGCTCAACCAGGTTAAATAGGCAGGTTAGGGTAATTAGACAAGTTATTGTATAACAGTGGTTTGTTTTGTAGATTATCGAGAAGAAATGTAGCTTAAAGGGGCTAATAATTCTGTCCCTAAAATGTAGTTTAAAAAATTAAAAACTGCTTTTATTCTAGCCGAAATAAAACAAATAAGACTTTCTCCAGAAGAAAAAATATTATCAGACATACAGTGAAAATTTCCTTGCTCAGTTAAACATCATTTGGAAAATATTTAAAAAAGCAGAAAAAAATTCAAAGGGGGCTAATAATTCTGACTTCAACTGTATATTTAATGCTGTATAAAATGCTATTTAATGCTCCCCCTTTTTTCGTTTGCAACTACAGGTGTGTGTTGGGTAACACTACTATCCTGGCAGAGTTTGCCAGCGAGGAGGATGTGAACCGCTTCTTTGCACAGGGCCAGTCTCTTACCCCCACCACTAGCTGGCAGGCCAGCCCAGCACCAGGCTCCAGTCAACCCCGACTGGGCAACCCTACTGCTAGCCACCCCACAGGCCTCTGGAGCGGAGGAGGAGGCACCAAGTCAGTCTGCAGTGCTGGGAACAGCAGCAGCGGAAATGGAGGCGACATGCTCTGGGGTGGTGTGCCACAGTACTCCAGTTTATGGGCTCCCCCAAACGGAGACGATGCCAGGGTAATCGGCAGCCCCATCCCAATAAATACTCTGCTCCCAGGAGACCTGCTGAGTGGAGAGAGCATGTAGGATGCATCAGACATCATAAACCAACAAAGTCAAAAGACCCAACGGATCAAATCTCAAGCAAATCAATGTGGCGATAATCACTTTTTGTCGAACTCTACCAGAGGTTGAAGGGGAGACAGCTGCAAACCTCCAACTGCTGTTTTTTGTCCTGTTTTTTTACGTCAGACTATTTGGTGTGTTCGTGGATCTTCGTGTTCAAAGACGTTGACAAACATAAATCAATAGAAGAAGAGCTTTTTGATGCTTTTTTTGTTTCCAAAGATTGTTTTCGTTCAAAACTGTTGTTCAGGAGAAGCCGCAAAAGTGGCAGCCATCTGAAAACGACCCAGGCACAGTGAGACCTCATGACACCTTTCCCTATAATGACACTCTTCTGATGATTGGAATGATCCTTGTACTTTTTGGTTTGAAAATCTGCATCACTTTTTCACAACTTATTAGCCGTAAGTGCTCTCTCTCCATGACCTCCTAAAGTTTTATTTTATAAGAACAACAACATCAACCAATTTCCTAAGTTGCACAGTTCTGTTTCTGAGCCAGCGAATAGGCCAGAGCTAATGAGCAGTGGCCTGTCAGCATGACTAATCACCAATGATACGTTTCGTCTTTAATTCTGTTCGTAATTAAAAGGGAGCTGCACTGCTCTGTTGCGTTTTACTCACACTCTTTTTTTTTATTTTCGTTTAATATGTGTATGGTTAAATAAGCTGAATGTTAAGCTTCGATTTAGATAAATGAATGTCAGTGTGTCTGCTGGAACTTGACCAAGCATCTGTGTGTGAGTACTTTACCACTGTTAAAAACACTCAGTGGATGCTTTTTAATGATACCTAAACGACTTCAGTGCTGAATCAATCAAACGCTATTCAGTTACTATGTGGTCAGCCATTTTTAATGAGATGCAACAGAGAATTCATTCTGATGCATTGTGCAATAGAAGCCAGAGACGCTTTCTTCCGTCCACACTGAAGCTTACTGAAACTGTTTTTTTTTCTTGTTTTTGCTGAAGACTATAGCAGAATTGAATCTTTGGACTCATTTTTCCGCCTTGCCTTGAACTGTTTGTCTGCCTTTCTGGCTGTTCACTAGTATATTTGTGGAAAGGAGGAACTGTTAACTGTGTTTGTCATCACTCCATGCGGTTTACCACTTGGCATGTGTGGGATGCCACAGTCTCCCAGCCACATCTCTTCACCAAACAGAAATGGAATCCATAGCGGGAGACACATGGCTCGGAAGTCAGGCACAATACCAAATACAATGCGTTTCTCTTAATGCAGTACAGAATAAGAGATTCTTGCGTTTGGTACAAACATAAAAGACATGTACATTTTATAAGTCACTTCTTTAAGAGGTATTAGCAAAGCACTTATTACAAGAGCAGTGCTCCTTCTGAAAGCCAATAAATCAGTTGATGGAGCGTATTGTTAAAAAAAATGAAAAGAAACAAAAAAAAATCTTAAGGCAACTTTTAACTGTTACCTTTTTTATATATACACCTTACTGGTATTCAAACGGCTCATTTGTTTGTCGTCCATCTCTGATCAATAAACTTTTCAGACTATTCCGAATTAAGGGACGAACAAAAACTACAATCAGTTGAAACTTGCAATGTATGTTTTTTGTGTCTGTATATTTTCTCTTCTCACTCTACCCAAAGTGAATGTCGTTGTTGCTTTGATACAGTCAAAAGACTTTATTCTGTCCTGAGGAGGCACTTCAGTTGGATTGGATTTGAAAAAGAGGCTGTCAGTGCCTCAGTGTGGAAACTGATGGAGGATATTTGATTCTCAGTAGCAGATTCCTCTGTGGAATGAAGGAAAGGACATTATGATGTGATGATGATATGGACGGACGATGATGTGATGTTTGCAGTAGTAACTTAGGTACAGATCTTCAAATGTCCCTCGTTCCATCTGGGATGACGGCTCTCATGCAACCTAACCCACTCCATCCCTCATGTGGTTTTGCTGGAATTTAAGACTGAATGGAATCGCCAGTGTTGTATATTATGACTTTTTTTTTCTCCACACATTCTGTTGGTCTTCATTCAGCATTCTTTAACTGCCTGCAGCGCATGTGGATACACTTTAAAAGAGGTGCCTCGGTATACTTATCCTGTGTCACGGATGCAAATGAAGATGCTGTGATGTAGGCCATGTTTCGTGTGAAAATAACTAGTTTTTGTTGTTACAGTGTTAGATCATTTAGAATAGGGGCTCTTTTATTGATGTGTGTGTGTGAGTGTGTGACCTAACCCTGGACATCCCACCTCTAACTCAGCTGCTAACATCCACTCTTTTGTGTGGCCTCACTGAAGCCAACCCTGTTATCTAGAAAAGCTGCCCATACTTGAAAAGCCCTGTCCGAGCAGTATTTCTATGGACAGACTCTTTCTGCCATTGGCGCTTTAACTACAGCACACGGCATGCTGTGACTATGCAAAGTGAGAAAAGATGGGCTTGTAATGTCCGCCCTGTGCCAATCTGTGGCTTTGAAAGGAAGTTTAAAAATTGTGCAGTCCTCCTGTAATATTATCTTACATACACAAGACCATTGACGTCCTTGTTGAACTTAGGGTGTTTCCTGACACAAAGCATTTTGTTCAAATTCTTTTCGGGAGGTCTGCGCACCAATTGTGCTGAATCTGATAGATCTCGTTCACTACAATCTCAGGGCATGACAAGATTAACCATTTTTGTTTAATGAAAGTTGATCGTTTCAAAGATTTATCAATTTCAAGCGGGTCTACGCATTCAGTTATGTGTGTACAAATCTTACAAAGCGTACATGAAAGAAATACGACAGAATATTTATCAATGGGGCAATACATTTTGGAGGGTGGCTAGTTAGGGTGTTTTCAATCCTGATGAACAGGAATTGTTGGCGAGTCGTCAGTAAATGGGACCTGCGTATTGTACCTCTCTGCTGCTGCTTGTGATGAATTCCCCTCATGGTCTCACGTGCCAATGTATGCATAAAGATATATAGGTACACTGTGGCATTGCTGACTTCACATCTTAAATTCCAATGTGTGGTTTTGTTGTAGAGCACTTCTGTTTGAAGGCACTTTGATGATTCTTGTGTGTTTGAGGTGGGATTGGGTTTGAAAATGGGTTGAGGATATGCTGATTATTTGTGATAATCTTGTTGCTGTCATTAGAAGAATAACTAGCTAGAACTTTTAACAGCATTGGGGGTTGTGGTGTGCTAATGGCGTACAGATAATGAGTAATCCCTGGTACTTTTGTTTTGTTTTGTTTTTTGAATACCAAAAAATGAAATGGCATTTTATTATCTTTTATATAAAACAAAAACAAGTAAACACTGAAGGAGAAAAAAAACATTTCAAAATGCACATCTTGCAGATGATATCTCCTGTTTGCTGATCACATCCTGAAGGTTGATGGCAAGCTGGAGTGCCTTTTAAAAAAAGTTTGTTTGTAAAAAGAACTGTACAATTGTCATCTCAGTTCATTTCACTGTTGCCTGTGTATGTAACTGCCTTGTTCCAAATTCAGTCACAGCTGACTGACAGTGAACCACAATGTGACTGAAAACATCACAGGACGTCTCTGGTGACACCAGCATAGGTAGACTATGACTACAGTTAACTTTATTCTCTGTATTATCATGTTTATTTTGTAGAAAAAATGCTATCAGATCTCCAAATCCTTCACTTTTAAAACTCCTGGGTAAAAAAATGATTTGAAAACGAGCAATAGGGTGTGTCATCGGTGGGAATTTGCCTAAAAGAAGAAAGTGATCAGCGATTGATCAAAACCAAACAGTCTTACTGAGGGGGTTGTGTGTTTGTTATATGGACTAAAGACATCCATGCAGTATTTGTGGATAACTTCAATCATTATGTTGAACCCCATCATTCTGAACAATGTTTCTCTTTAGGCAAAGTTTGAAAAATCATAAACATATCAAAATATATATCTCCACCAATACTTGAATTAAAGCACGCCAATTGTAAAATGTGAATTTATTTTTTCTTGCATTTTGTTTGGGTCTGACACCTTTTAATGTATTTGTAACATTTTCACAAATAACTTCTCAACAAAGAGAAATATTTGGAATGCGTGAGTTTGAGTGCTTTAGTTCATTTGCTCTCTAATCGCTGATTGTTGTTGTTGTTGGGTATCTGCCAGCAATTATAATCCATTTTGTTTGTTATACTGCTTTGTGTGTGTGTGTGTGTGTGTGTGAGAATGAGTGTCTTTTTCCCTTGCTTGTACTCAAAAAATAATTGCAGGGGAGATCATGACAATTTGTGTGTCAATGTTTACTCAAGGACTACTTTTTATCCTAATGTATGAAACCTGTAAAATTGTATTCTCATGGTGGTTTTTATTGGGAAAATACCCACAAAGGTGATCATTTACATAGTGTTTTCATTTCAGTTACGTTTTCATTTAAATTTCAGTTACAGTTTGTTTGTTTGTTTTTTGTTTTTTTTTTGCTCAACTAAAAAATCTAAAAAAAAATAAATAAAAAAAAGATCAAAACTCTTTTTTTTTCTCTATAAGAGCCTATCATTTCAATTCTGAAGAGTTTTTTCTTTTTTTTCAAATCTTGAATCCTATTTTTTTTTTCAAATGTCTGAATTTGCAAAAAAGAAGAAAACAACCTACAGACAACATCAGTTTAATAACACGAAAATGAAGTATGCTATTGCTGAACTCTGGGGTTGTTTTAGTGTCACTTTGTATTTTTTCCTCATGAATTCTGTTGTTTATGTTGTATGTTGAACTGATGCTAATGTCTTTATGTTTTCTTTTCAAAAAAATGATTCTGTCTTGCACACTGACAAAAGACTTGGATTTTTTCTCAGGAAGATTAGGGGTCCAGAGTTCCAGTTCCACTGTTAAGATGTTGATTATCATGAGAATTTAACTAATTGATTAACAAATCAGAAAAATATTTTAAAACAACAACAAAAAAAGATCAACTCTAAGCACTGAAGGTTATGGATTTGAAAAAAAAATTATGTTTTGAATTTTAATCTGTAGCAGACATTTACCAAATATTAGATATTAAAGAACCTATGCGTTTTATTTCTTAAAGTAGAGTACTTATGAGATGTTTTTGTATCACTTTACATGCAAATAGAATTTTGTTTACTGGTTAGGTTGTGGAAGGACCTACCACTGTTTGATTTTTACCTTACCTGATGTTTCCCAACGAGGTCCAGTGTCAAATGCTTGATATTCCATTCTCTTGTCTTTTTATAGTTTGGAAATTCATTAGAGGCCTGTATGCAAAGGCCTGAAAATTGTAGATCAACACATAGAACTTGAACTTCTACTAGATTTACGTACTAGTTTTTGAGTGTGGGTTGAAAATACTCCATCTAGGTTTAGACTAATGTTAAGATGTTGTGAAAGGATTAAGAATCTATGCACATGTTTGAGAGGACTGTATGTCCAGACATGCTATTCTTACAAGGATATCTGGGAGGGGGGAGGGGGATCATGCACTTGTTTCTTTGTATAACTTTTATTTGAATCAGCAGATTTTAGTGTCATCACCATGCTCTGCGTCTCAAGATGTGAGCTTCAACAACCAAGCACTGTGGGTTTATTCCAATCTGTGACATTCTAGTGTTTAAATGGAATGATGGGTTGGATGGCATCTTGTGAACTGTTGCTCTATTGTTCAGATAGAAACCACATGACTGTACTGAGATTCAACAGCTTTTAAATGTTTTTCCCTTACCCTTGATAGAATGTGATTGTTGAGGACACAGAAAAGTCTTTCCATGTTGTATGGAGATTATTTCAGCCTATATTAATAAATAGCATTCTTTTCTCTTGAACTGTGTTTGTGTTTTATTGGGAAATATGTAATGCATGTTTTTTTGTTTTTCCTCAGAGAACTCTGACCTTTGTGGGAGTTTTACTTTATCATATCCATCATGCTAGTACCAGGGGTTTATTCCAGAGAGCTGGGTTAATTTATCACTTGCTAAACCCTAACTCTCAGTCTGATCTCACGAGGAAACGTATTTACGTTTTGTGAATTTAGTGGCTAATTAATTTGAATTCGGATTCAAATTCATTTGAGTTCAGTCACATGTAAGTGTACGATTTTAAAAAGCAGGATGGCGTCCAACCCTACTCCTAAATCCAACCTACTGTCATAGGGGATGAGCAAATCATACTAATGTTTACAAATGTGATTGTGCAAATACTAATTAGCCACTAAATCTAAAAGTTACTAACCCAAAACCAGCTTACCGTGAGAACTTCAGTTCCAAAACAACTGAGTGCAGTTAGTATAATCAACCTCTTAAAGATAACCGTGAGTTAATGCACACCCACTCGCAAACCTGAAGACATTTTCAGTGGATCACTGAATTCACGAGTCACCATGGAATGTCGCAGTGAGGAAAAAGGGGCAACTTTATAGAGTTGGAGGTTTTATACTGGCATTTGAAGAATAAAGCTGATTGTAATGAAAAAGCAATACAACAACTGCATCAACGAAGGAAATGATTTTCGTAGAAAAGATAAAGCTGCCATTTCATGTATTATATATAGCCTACAGAAAAATGTGTGGGGTAAAGAGAGAAAAAAAAGCAACCTTTACATGAGACTTGCTGTGGAGGAGGGTCTGTATGCGGACTGAAAGATTAACTGAAGGGAGCATAACTTGATATTATGGAGACCCACATTGTGGGTGCAAGATGGCACTGTACCTATCAGTTATTTCTGTCTAGACCTACTCCACACCTAAACCCCTTCATCAGTTATTAACAACTATGCTTACCACAACCCTAAACCCAGCCATCGTTATTAACGTCTACACCTTCCCCAAACCTAAACCCAACCATCATAGTATTAACATCTAGCCCTACCCCAACTATCACAGTTATTAATGACTACAGCAGGGGTGTCCAAACTTGATCCTGGAAGGCTGGTGTCCTGCTAAGTTTAGCTCCAACTTGCTTCAAAACACCTGCAGGAAGTTTCTAGTATATCTAGTAAGAGCTTAATTAGCTGGTTCAGGTGTGTTTGATTAGGGTTGGAACTAAACTCTTCAAGACACTGGCCCTCCAGGAACAAGTTTGGACACCCCTGGTCTACACCTTCTCCAACCCTAAACCCAACCATCACATTTATTAACGTACAGCAGCGAGTTGCAGAGGCTTTCATTCTTGACGTGCTCACATACTGTTATTTGCAACAACTGGGGCCAACTGTCATAATAAAACGGATTAAGTCAGTGAGTAGAGTTACTAAATCAATGAATATAACAATATATCAAATGAATTGGTTGTGGATAAATTTGGAGGAAACTCATGAAAACATTTGGTCAAAATGTTCTCTGGTAGGGTGTTATGGTGGCGCAGTGGGTAGCATGATCGCCTCACAGCAAGAAGGTCACTGGTTTGAGCCTCAGCTGGGTCAGTTGGCATGTCTGTGTTGGAGTTTTGCATGTTCTCCCCATGTTCGTGTGGGTTTCCTCCGGGTGCTCCGGTTACCATGACAAGTCCAAAGACATCCCCTATAGGTGAATTGGGTAAGCTAAATTGTCCGTAGTGTATGAGTGTGTATGGATGTTTCCCAGTGATTGGTTATGGCTGGAAGGGTTTCCCCTGCGTACAGCATATGCTGGATAAGTTGGCGTGTTCATTTCGCTTTGGCGACCCCAGATTAATAAAGGGACTAAGCCAAAAAGAAAAATAATCAATGAATGTTCTCTGGTAAGTTTTTCCACCATCTTGCCAACAACATCTTGTTGTGACATCTCACATGATTCAATGGGATCTTGATAATTGTAAGTTATGCCTTTAACTTACTACAAGGTACACCCCTTCATATTTCACACACATTACTGTACGTAGACAGATACACTTGCTGCTGAGAGCACCTTTATGTTTATATTCATGTTAATTCCGCAGAGCTGTGCAATAGAATTTTGCATATTCAAGCTAGTGTGATCGTCTGTGGACTGCAAGACAAGGACGTAACATGAAGGGGGCGTAACTTGTAGAGGTGTAATTTGAAGTTATAGAGACCCACATGTCAAAACTATATTGTCAGCAAGATGCCACTGTACCCATCAGTTATTAGCATCTAGACCTGACTCAAAACCTAAACCCAACGACCATCACAGTTATTAGTGTCTATCCATGCCACAACCCCTAACACAACCAACATCATTATTAACATCTACACATTTCCCAAACCTGAACTCAACCATCATTGTTATTAACGTCTACACCTATTCCACTGTGCACATGCTGCCGCGAGCTGTGGAGGCTTTCATACTTGACACGATTGCCATTTGCAACCATAGTGGGAGACGCTGAGTAGGCTAACTGTAATGACAAAATGGATGAAACAGTCAGCAAGTGAACATGCTAAATAAATAACAAAATAATATATAAAATGCGGGGCGACGCGGTGGTGCAGTGGGTAGTGATGTCGCCTCATAGCAAGAAGGTCTCCGGTTTGAGTCTTAGCTGGGTCATTTGGCATTTTTGTGTGAAGTTTACATGTTCTCCCGGTGTTCGTGTGGGTTTCTCCCACAAGTCCAAAGACGTGGTATAGGTGAATTGCGTATGCTAAAATTGACCATAGTGTATGTGTGTGAGTGGGTGTGTATGGAAGTTTCCCAGTGATGGGTTGCAGCTGGAAGGGCATTCGCTGTGTAAAACATGCTGGATAAGTTGGTGGTTCATTCTACTGTGGCAACCCCAGATTAACAAAAGGACTAAGCCGAAAAGAAAATGAATGAATATATCAAATAAATATTTTCTGGATACATTTGGAGAAAACGCATGTAAAACAGTAAAGTGAGTCACTGTTGGAAACCACTGTCTATCCTCCTTAAAATATGTGGATTATCTTTAATCTTTGAGTATCATCATGATGTTTTGTTTAAACTCTAAATGCTAGGGTAGGGCAACTGCAATAATATTATCAAGCTACGAGAATCGTGTTGTATTTAACAGTTTCTTCTCCTTAGTGTCAGTATAGAGCACATGTTCACATTAGCACCGCACTGTCCTTTCTTAATACATGGATTTGCTCGACGTGTGATGCTTATATATCCCCAATGTCTCTTTAAAAAAATGCATTTGCCAATAATATTCATAAATGGCTCTTTGCTGAAAAAAGGTTTCCGACCCGACCCCAGGATTAGGGTTCAAGCAAAACGTTCGAGGTTACAGAAGTAACCCTTCGTTCCCCGAGGAGGGGAACGGAAGTGCCATGAATGGGAGGATTCGTATCAGAAGCCGCTTATCTGGAGAGTATTGAACGGGCCAATGAATGAAATTAATTGGCAGCGTAAGCTTGCGCAGGTGTGCGACATCTGCAATCATCTCAGCATATAAGCACACCTGAAGCCAGCAGACGCCATCCTTTTAAGCTGAAGAGACTTTCAAACAGCTAAGGGACAGTCATTATGGCGACGGAATATGGCACTTCCGTTCCCCTCCTCGGGGAACGAAGGGTTACTTCTGTAACCTCGAACGTTCCCCTTCGGTTGGGGAACTTCAGTGCCATGAATGGGAGAATATGGAAAGCGCCATAATGACTGCACCTTACCAACACCCCCGATGAGGAGATAGTCAAGCAAGCGTGACGCACCCACATCATGGGGGGCGCGGTCCTCCAACGTGTCCCTGGCCCTAATTATCCTACTTCAACAGAAGTTCTACGGATTTAGATATATTTTTTGGGAAGTCGTGAGCATCTAGATAATTCTAGGAAATACGACAGTACGTTGGGAAGCGTGCAATCCCGATAGGGAGGACGCTGCGGAGGCCATCCGTTACCCAAGGGGGGGATAGATGGCAGAATTTACCTATGGACTAGCCCTAAAAAGGGGGAGTACGCATAGCAAAGAATGGTTAGCGGAGAGGGAAGACACGGGTCCGCCCAGGGGGGGGACTTAACCGTGGCGGAATAAGCATATGGGATCGCCTAGTGGGGATCACGCATAGCAGGCACCTATACCCAAAACGCGGGCTGACCAGCGGGCAGACCTACAACGTAGTGGGCCAGCAAGTGACTCCTCCGCTGAGTCAGTGCTGGGGGCCACGGAGGAATCTGCAGGGCTCACCTGACGGGGAACTTTACTGACAGATAAAAAAGGCGCACGTACCTCCGTGTTAGGGAGAATGGCGCAGCAAGCGTGTTTCAACACCCTACCGAGTTGTCTCCTCAATCACCAAAGGGTTACCTAATACCCTTGAGGAAACCGGCTCCACTCGCAGATTGTAAAACCTTGCAAATGTGTTGGGTGTCGCCCAGCCCGCAGCTCTACAGATGTCTGTTAGAGAGGCGCCGCGTGCACGCGCCCAAGAGGATGCAACGCTCCGAGTGGAGTGTGCACGTACTCCCGGGGGACACGGCTGACCTCGACTCGAATAAGCGAGTGAAATGGCATCCACAATCCAGTGGGATAATCTTTGTTTCGATACGGCACTTCCCTGCTGCCGACCGCCATAACAGACAAAGAGCTGCTCAGATGATCTAAAATTCTGAGTACGGTCCACATAAATGCGCAGAGCGCGAACTGGACAAAGTAAAGAAAGGGCTGGGTCTGCCTCCTCCGGGGGCAGCGCTTGCAGGTTCACTACCTGATCTCTAAAGGGGGTGGTAGGAACCTTGGGCACATAACCGGGGCGGGGTCTCAGGATAACGTGAGAGTAATCCGGCCCGAATTCCAGGCATGAGTCACTGACCGAAAATGCCTCCAGGTCCCCGACCCTCTTGATGGAGGCCAACGCAACCAGCAGAGCTGTCTTCAGGGACAGAAATCTTAGAGATACTGATTCGAGTGGCTCAAAGGGATCGGATC